TATATATATTTGTTTTTTCCCCTCAGTTCCTAACACAGAGCTCCTCAATTTGTAGGATTTCCTGAGAAATAGAAGTGTCTGTTATTAATTGTAAAGAGGCCCTTTTAGAAGGAGTGTTTCTGGAATACATTTAAGTCAATGCTAATAAGATGACTTAGATGTGGGACCACTACCCTTCTCCCCTAAAGCTGCAGGATAGGTGTTGGTTACCAGAAAGATTAAATAATTTATTAAAGGGTGGATACTCTCTGGGCCTCCTCCTAACAGCCAGAGAGGGAAGAAGGCTGGAGATTGGGTTATAAAAACATGTACAAGGAGGGTCAGAGAGCTTGAGAGGTTGGTGAACACATTGAGGGTGTTGGGAGAGTGGTGTGCTCTGAGGGCATGGAAGCTCTCCATCCCCCATTTCCCCTTATACTTCACCCTATATGTCACTTCCATTTGGGTATTCTTGAATTTAGTACTTTCTGATAAGCTGATAAATATAGATGTAAAGTATTTTCTTGAGATTCGAACCTGAGGTAGGGGTGTGAGAACCTCTAAATTTGTAGTTGGCCAGGTAAAAGTGTGGGTAACCCAGACATCCATTTGTAGTTAACATCCAAATTGTAGACATCTTGTAGGAATGAGGTCTTTATCTTCATTTTTCACTTTGCTATAGGGGCACGTGTACTTACCAAAGAGAAAGAAGGAAAGTGAGAAATCACCTCTCCAGGGGGTATGGCCACGCCACAATTTCATCTCCTGTTGTGATTTGGGCACACATGTGCACACACTCCTGGCGTGTTTCTCTGGCCACTGGGTCCAGGACTTGAACTGTGTGGTCAGTCACAAGGTACCAGCTACCTTAATTACCATGCTACTGGATGGCCTGAGAGTGAGCTCTTTAATTTGTGGAATCTGACACTAATTCTAGGTAGATGAAGCCAGAATTGAATTGAATTATTGGTTACCCAGTTAGTATTGGAGAATGGGTTGTTGGTATGGGGGAAAAACCATATGTGGTGTCAGAGAAAACACTGCACTCCTCATTTTGTCCAACACAATAAGAGATCTGGACAGCACTTTAGCTTAGTCAAGGAAATTGAGCCAGGCTCAGCTGAGTAACCTAGGTTGAGCTTAGAAAAACAGAACTGCCCACAGCCGAGACTGTGGTACTGTTTCAGGGCCTTGGACCAGAGCTGAACCTCTAGTGCCTGAATGTCATCTTGAACCCCAGGAAAGAATGGAAGACTAAGAGAAGGACTCCAGTTTGTGCTTTGGAATGATGCTTCAGTGTTAGGAGGCATCAGTATCACAATACTTGGAAATAGTCAGATGAGCAGTTTCAGGTATAGTGTTATACAGAAATCTCTGAAGTCTTTGTAGCCTCTGCTGATGATGCAGAGCCAGAGAGGCCTGGGCTTTTCCAATCCAGTCAGCTCTGGGCTCTAAGACAAACCCCTGGCTTTTCTGTATATTGGTGATGTACTTCATATGGGCCAGGACAATGAGAAGCAATATAAGAGGCTAAAGAGAAAAATCATGCATTGGCTTGAAAATTTGTGTAATTGTTTTGTTAGCTTACTAGGATGCTGTGGTTGATGACCAACTGCAAATCCACATTTCATTCCTGAGCCTCTGATTTGCTTTTTTTCTAATTAATATGACATATGTTTTATAACAAATAGCTTATTGAGGTAGGTCCAGGACTCTTTCAGAAGAGAGTTCTATTTGAAAGCTGTGTAGCCTACCATACTTCCAGCCAACATAATGGATTGATTAATAGACTGCTGTTTCTTCCCATCCCGGATGCATGGTGTCGTATGGTAATTTAAGGACAGATAACAGTTTAGGATAATTATTTTTGTACTTCATAAAATTACAGTGAATGCAAAATTAGTTCATTCAGTTTTTCTAATATGTAAGTTTTTTGGTCTTTTCTAGTCTGTCTTCATGAACCTCTCTCCCTATTGCATTCCATACTCCATATACTACCAGCATTATCTTTCAACAAAGAGATTAGCTATAGATAAACAGACCTATAACATAAAATAGACAAATTATCCCAGGCCCAGAAACACATGTACATACATGCATGCTTTGTCTCTGAGAAAGCAGAGGCACTTTTAATGGTGCATCCTGTTTCATATCATACATAAAAATTAAATCTTGGTGGATTTTAAGTCTGAGTATGAGTGTCAAAACACTTGTTTGAAAATAATAATATTCTCAGCTTAAGAAAATAGTGGTACATTTAACTTAGTTAAAATCAAGAACTTCTGCTGAGAAGACATCATGAGAGTGAAAAGGCCAAAAGCACAGAATAAATTTATTTGTAACATATTTAAATGGAGAAAGGCTTGTATCTAGAATATAGAATTTCCACAAATGAACAAAAGACAGCTCAGCAGAAAAGAATAAGAGATTTGAATGACCAGTTCAAAGATGATGGTATCTAAATAGCCAGTAAGGAAAAAGTGTTCAACCTCATTAAAAGTCAGAGGAGTACAAAATAAGCCATATAGTACAAAGTAACAGAGAGTGCTGAGCTTCCTTCCTGAAAAGATTTTTGTCTAAATGAGTAATTTAGATATAGCTTGCTTTGGTCAGTCAAGTTTTGCTCAGAAGTTACTTTTATTGTTAAGATACATCAACCTGGGGCCAGCAGATGATAAGGTGGTTAAGGATGCTGGACTCTCATATGGCTGGCTGCAATTTGAGTCCCGGACCTGGTGGCTTGCTTTCTCACTTTCTCTCTCTTGCTTGCTCTGTCCTTCTCTGGTCAAATTAAAAATAAATAAAGTTAAATAAAATAATTCTTAAAATACATTAATCTGATTTCTGATATAAGTGAATACAAAATAGCAATCTTAAGTCTGAATTTTGTAGGGGTTCAGAGTCAGTACATGATGCTGGTATGTTGATGAAAGATAGCTTAAACCATTAAAAAAAATAAATATATATATATATAGGGACTAGCAGATGGCATAATGGTTACATTGCTGAACTCTCTTGTAATCGACCATGGTTTGAGTCTCAGACCTCACGGCTTAAAACTCATGCTGGGCAAGTATATGTGGGTGCCCAAAATCCTGAAAGGAGAATGGAAGAAAAGGTATTGAGGCATGGCCATCTTCTGGGGGGTGGTGGGGGGATTGTGTGCGTGTGTGTGTGTGTGTGTGTGTGTGTGTGTGTGTGATTTCTTGCTGTCTCTCTGGCAAGCGCATGAGCCCTATAGCAAAAATCTTTCTTAAAAGCAAAAAAATTACAAATACATTACATTTTTTTTGCCATTGGGCATATGTACTCAAGGGAGATAAAGAGGAAAAGTGAGAAATCACCTCCCTCTTGGGGAATAGCCACTCCACAATCCCCTCTCCTCTCAGGATTTCGGGCACTGCATGCACAGGTGCCCAGCATGTTTTTCAGGCCACCAGTTCTGCAACTCAAACCCTGGACCCTGCTGGCCCCAGTTTTTTTTAACTTTTCTATTTGGATTCTGATAACACAGATTTATGAATCATTTGCTTGGTATAAATGGAAATAAGAGAAACAGATATATTGTTTTAGCTCCAGGGGGCTTGTTCTCTGTATCCAGTGAGAGTGGAACAGTAGAGCACTTACTATAAATACAAGTGCTAGGGTTATGTTAAAAGTGAGGTTCAAGGGCGGGAGGAGCGGTAGGTAGGGTTTATCCACTCAACTCCGCAAAGGCTCTAGGTGTGCGGTGGCCTCATCAGGCACCCAGCACGCACCCTGTCCGCAGTCAAGATGCTCAAGAGGAAGGTCAGCTCAGCCGAGGGGGCGGCCAAGGAAGAGCTCAAGTGGAGATCAGTGAGGTTATTGGGCTAAACCTCCTGCAAAAGTGGAGACAAGCCAAAAAGGGCGGCAGGAAAGGATAAATCTTCAGACAAAAGAGTGCAAACAAAAGGGAAAAGAGGAGCAAAGGGGAAACAGGCTGAAGTGGCCAACCAAGACACTAAAGATGATTTACCTGCAGAAAATGGAGATGCTAAAAATGAGGAGAGTCCACCCCCTCTGATGAAGCAGGCGAGAAAGAAGTCAAGTCTGAGTAATATCATATACCATGTCTTATCAATGGTCCCTGTCTCCTTTCTTGTACAATCCAGAGGAATATTTTTATCTACTATTTTGTAAATGCAAGTTTTTTAATAGCTCTAGAAACATTTTTAAGAAGGAGAGAATCCCACCTCGTCCCATTTTTTAAGTGTAAATGCTTGTTTTTAAGAGGTGAAATCATTTACTGGTTGTTTATTTTTCAGTACAACCAGAAAATAGTGGGATATTGACTTATAGGAGGCTTTGACTCTCT